GCTTCTTCACTGGAAGTGGTTTTTACGTGGCGGGTCCCAAGCCCAGCGCACAACCCATTGCTGGGACGGGGGTGGTTTCGCAACCAAATACACGTTTATATAGCGAGCCGCTTGCTCCAAGCAGACACCCGCTTGCAGCCGCACCTACTGGTGAACAGACGCTGCAGACTTCAGTGAGCCCTTAAACCGAATAAGTCAGAGTGGCCCCACCGAAGCTCCCTCTCTTTCTGCCGTGACCCAAGGCTCCACTCGGATTGGTTACCGCATCTCGCACATGGGTTGCTCACGTTGCCCAGAGTGCGCGAACGAGGACGCAAGAGTCGGGATTGAGTATAGCCATGCAACTGTAACTGCATACCCAGCGCAACGACTATACCCCATTGCACTGTATTCTTACATAGTAATAATAATAATAGATTGGCGCTTACACATATGTTAATGTTTGGCCGAGCTTCTCCTTCAATTTGTGGTGTGCGCCTTGACGTTGTCACACAAAGGGGATAGAATACAAGATTGCGCCAATCGAGCTGAGAGCAACTGGCCGTGACGTCAAAATATACCAGAATGAGAGAGCAAGACGAACTCGACAAGAAAAAGAGGAAGCATCGAACAAAAGGCAATGTTGCCAAGTTTTTAATTTGAAAAAGCACCAAATTTTTATTGGTGTATTTTATGGACTTTATATGAATACATAATTTTATTGTAAGGATGCCGACTCAAATTAATAAAAATCAATGTTTCTTGCACAACGGTCGATTTCTTCTGGCATGATTGAAGGTGCTGCCACATATTTTGTTGTCGCTTATGATTGTCACTGTGCCATAATTTTGTTAAAATTTTTGTAAAATTGCTTGCCACACTTACGATTGCTATAAATTTTGCTTCCATTTTTTTTAAGATTTTTGAATTTGATGTCTTCAAACTAAAAACAAAAGCACCAAAAACGCACCAAGCACAAAACTCAAAAATTTTCGCGTTTTGAATACCCACTAAATTTGGTGCGAAAAGCATCAAGTTGGCAACAGTGAATGTAATCAAAAGTATATTATGACGTCAGCGACTGGGTGGATGCTGTCAAATCGACGAAGAGAGGGCTAGCGGTCCGCGAATGGCGCGACCTTTATTTTCCGTTTTTTCTAAATTTTTTTTATGTATTCTTACATAATTAATGTGTTTATTGTGGTATGTTTAATTACTTTTTTATGGGAATTTTTTTTATGCGGCTTTCTGAGGAACGCATGTACCGCATAAAAAGAGACCTAAGTGTACATGCATATACAGTGCCGAACAGAAGTATTGGCACAGAGAATTTTTCGCAATACATGCAAAGTTTTTTATTCTAATTTATTTTTGATAACAAATAATGAAAATATTATTTTTTGTACTGAGAAAATGAGCAACACCTTCCACTAAAAAAATTGCCAAAAATCAACGCCATTTTCTAGCAACTTTAAACTTGCATTTTGTCATACTAAAATTGAATGGACTATAAAACTGCTATAAAACTACAATTTTTCTAAAAAATCTGAATAAAAAGTTGCAAATCAGTGTGCAAATTTGATGAATTTTCCTGAGTTTTGCACAAAGTTTAGAGATTTTATTATTATGTTATCTGGTGTAGAATAAACAATATTTTTATAAAAAAATTATGGAAAATAAATTAGAATAAAAAACTTTGCATATATTGCGAAAAATTCACTTTGCCAATACTTCTGTTCGGCACTGTATGTATATGCATATGTGTACAAGTATTGTATGTTCCTTATGTTTTTATACAAACTATAAAAGTGTTAGGACCGTTAACTTATGCATTAACGGTTTAACTATCTTTAAATAGATAAGTTTACACCCCCAAATATGCTTAGGGCCGGTTGTTCAATGTCTGGTTATCACTACTTGCCGGTTAAACATCATTATCGACGCTTTCGACGTCATGCATATAACATGTGATCGATAAAGCAGTCGTTGTATTTAACCGGAGCTTCTACCTCCGATTAGTGCTAATCAGACAGTGAACAACCGGCCTTAAGGGCCTGGTTGACACTAATCATCGGTCAAACATCGTTGTCGACGTCTTCGGCTCCATGCATACAACGTCGATAACTATGCTTAACCGAAGATTAGTGTTAACCAGACATTGAGTAACCGGCCCTTAATGTGTTAAAGGGCCCATGGATGATACCAGCATGCTGGCGCTATCAAAAGTTGGTGCCATCCGATTAAACGTGTATGTTCTTGTGGTGTGATTGTACCGGCTGCTGGTGCGACATCAAAAACGATTTGAAAATTTTAGGATTGTGCCAACATGATGGTGTCGCGAATAGTGAAATTAGCTAATTTTTTTAAGTATTTTACCGTAAATTTCTTGCACTATATGAGTTAAAGCCGTGTTTGTGGAAAAATTATGAAATTTCGCTCTAATCCTTTCAGTGTTTTTTTGATCCCATTTGTAAAGAAATAAATATTGTGACAGCAAGCTGCTTCGAGCCTGATGGTGTCAGCAAGCTGTTGTCGTGTATTTGCCCTTTTATTTATACATATATGTAGGTAAACATTTTGGCTACCATTTTTAGCCACAACGAATTTTTTTAGCTCTTTTTAGCCCTTTTTTAAAAGGAACTTGGCTACCACAAAAAATGATAAGCGGCAACACTGCGCCGGACAGTGAACTTTCGTTAAGTTTCCTGTACAGTTCAAAATGGCTCCTCGACGAGTACGGTAGTGCTGACCTGCCGAATTTTGTTAAAGCAAACATCTGATTAATGGGTCGATTATCGATAGCAAGCGAACTTCAGCTATTATGAGTTGCATTCGATCTTCGATTGTGGTCGACAGCACAGTATATACAGTAATAAACCTTTTCGCAGTTTTTCACAAATTGGTCCCCGAGGAGTACTTTTGGGTTGTGTGCAACGTTTTCGTTTTGCGCGCACGGCAACACTTACTGTGGGGAATTTCGCCTCATGATTAGAAAACGATCTTTTCGAGGATAAAATATACATATATAATTGTGTTATTTATGAATAAAATGTAGGTTAAGTATAGTATCAATTCTTAATTAAGAATAATATCAATAGTTAATAATTAACGCTTGTGTTTCTATAAACTGGAAACTCACATCGTATTTTTATTAAAAAACGTGAATTTTGTAAATTTATCAAGGAAAACTCTAATTTTCTAATTTTCTCTGAATCAGCAAAATTCATGCTCCTTCTCATTATCAACCCTGATCACATTTTAACCCCGAGGAGTACTCAAAAAGGTTTATTACTGTATATACTGTGGTCGACAGTGCTGATCGAACGAATTTTCATTTGGTATAATGACGCTCATTTGATGAAGAATAGCGCTATTCTGAATTTCGCTCGTTTAGGCCGTTCACAATAGTATATTTTTCACCGCCGAGATTTGTGCAAATTAAAATGAAAAAAAAGAAAGCGAGTTTATAAAACGTGGTCAAAATTAGTACAAGGGAGTTCTGGTTCAACGATTCCTTAATAGAGGATGAGAGCTTAGTAAACTGGCCAGGAGTAGAATATCACCCCTATTCTGTAACACTCCGAATACGAATTTTGCTACGAATCGTAGAAATGGTATGCTGCAATCCGAATCGTATTTTCGAACTTTCGAAATTCGTAAGTATGGCATGCCTAAAAACGAGCGAGTAAGAAATTGACACCTTTTTTGCGTAATTTTGTACGAAAACATTTCTGTGTCGGAAGCGAGATAAAAACTAAGCTAAAAGATGTAAGTCGTTGTGTATTTGGAGGAAATATTAGTGGATCTCTTTAAAACAGATAAATTTGCCTTTCGCATATACGTATATTTTTATCCACTGCTTTATATGAACGAACAAAAAGAATATTGGTTGCCTCTTATCAAGAAACTTGGGTACGGTTTAGTGATTTATCCAATGATTTTGGGTTGTTGTGTCTAAACGCATGACCCGAATCGAAAAACTTTAATATACATACACGCACTGGCGGATTTGAATATTTGTCACCCCTAGACAATTCAGAACTTGCCGCCCTTTTTCCGATAAGAAAAAAATTTTGAGGTAAAATTACCTGTTTTGAAACGATTAGCAGTAAATAGGAATATTCAAATTTATGTTATTATTATACTTTTATTACAATTTAAGATGAAAAAGTGGTATTTGCTTGATAAGTTAAGTTTGATAAGTTATAATCTCAAAAATACTAAATTAGTATTTTTAAATATTATTATATTATTAAAAAGTGCTAATGTATAGTCATATTTCAAACAGAAATCGGCTCAATTCTTTTCTTTCTACAGAAATGTAAAATATCGTTCCATAACTCGTACTCGTTCTAAATGAGGTACATTTATCCCAGTTTGATAATTGTATTTCGTGGTATTTGAATTATAGTTCAATTTATATTTCATGAATTACAGGAAGAATTACATATAATAATGAAAATTATCACAACTTAGGTACTCCTGAAAAATTCATAATGAACACATTCCATTCACAGTGCTTTGCGTCTGGATTTTTCAGCCGCGCATTCGCGGATGATTTATTCACAATCCATGAACAGAAACAATTCTGATTCTATTGTTAACATTGCAAGAGCATTAAATTTTTCGTCTCCCAATAAAGATCGATAATAGTTCTTGACGCGTTTAAAAATGGAAAATGATGCAATTTGAAATGGGAATGCAAACAAACATTCGCAATGCCTTGTCAACTTTAGGGTAAACGGTCTGTAGGCCATCCTTTCTCTACTACGTAACTGTGAACCACAATGTTTTGCACCAAAATGCTCCAGAGGTTAGAAACGAATGAGTTTCAATCAGCTCTAACGTTGATCCAGCGGTATAATCGTGAAAATATTGGACATTCAAAAGATTTGTCAACAACGCACAAAATATATGGGATACGATACATAGACTGATTATGCACGACCAAAACCGCAATACTTAAAGCGAAAGTATATAAGTGCATTGCGTCGCCGTCACCGTCAAAAAAGCTGATTCGGTGTATTTGTATGATGTAAGTTACATGAACCAGTTGACGGTGACGGTGCCGCACAAATTAGCTCAACTCTCAATTCTGCTTATGCTATTGCGTCAAATGACAACTATTCATTGTTTTGTTGGTATTGTTGTAGGCTGATCGATCTACTTCTCCATGTGCAAGAAAAATACTTTTTTCTCCAATTCTTTGCCCAACGTTTAGCTAACTACCTTAGCATCATCAGGGGCGATTCTTTATTATAAATATCAACAAAAAACAGAGCAAAACAAGATTATTTAAATAGAAATTATGAGTTTTTTGTACAAATAAAAATTAAAGATTGGTAAACAAAAATAACACAATCACAGGTTTTTAAACTTATTTTTTACCGCATGACTTACATGTAAACTTAGGTTAAGTTGGTTTCACATCAATGCACATACATGTAAAAACATTGAAAAACATATAAAACATATAAAAAACACAAAAAAACGTTAAATACATTGAAAAACATAAAGTATTGCTACCATCCATCCGTGGTAATTTCGTCAAACTAAACTAAACTATTCGCTACAAACATAACATGTAAGCAGCCGCGATATCGTCCGTGTCCTCCTTCTTGTTGATTGTTTTTTCCCTTTTCTGTAGTATACGTAAACTCTCTATTGTGTATCTTGCCCGTTCCCTCTTCTCCTTGTCCAATATTTTAACGTTAGCTAGATCAGCCGTATGGCCACTGGTAAGTACGTGTTGTGCTAATGCTGTGCTGTTCTTCTTTTTGTTTATGTCGGCTTCGTGCTCGGAAAGGCGAACGCCTAATGCTCGCTTAGTTGTCCCTATGTAAACTTTGTTGCAGTTTTCGTTTTCGCTGCCTTTACATGTGATTTCATACACCACGTTGTTTTGTTGGTGGGGCTTGATCGGTGTTTTTGTTTGTGTGAATATCGAAGATAGTGTGTAGTTGGTTCGGTATGCTAATCTTATATTAGGGTTGTTGGTGTTTATTTCGTGGTCAAGTTGTTGGTAGAACTTAGGAATGTACGTCACACTGTGATATCGCTTTGTTCCGTCTGTTGCTTTTGTGGTTGGCGTTTTGTTTTGATTATTGTTTATTTCTGTTACTTTATGTTCGATTAGGCTTTGTATTAGACGGTTTGGGTAGTTATTGCTTGCTAGAATTTTCTTTATTTTGCATATGTTCGTCTCCTTGAATTGTTGGTGGCTTATTGTAAATATTTTGTGTATTAAATTTTTGGCTGTGTTAATCTTATACTTAAAGGGTTGCGATGACAGATAATTTATTAGGCGCCCAGAGGAAGTGGGTTTTGCGTACCAGTTAAGTGCAATAGAATCATTTTTTCGGTGGATCATGACATCTAAGAATGGTAAACAGAGGTTTTCTTCTGATTCCATTGTAAATTGCAGCTTTGGATGATATTTGTTAAGTGTTCTGAGAATAATGTCCGCGTCCTTTTGTTTTACTATAGCAAAAATATCGTCTACGTATTTAACAATGAATTTGATGTCAATATTAAAATTTTCCTTCAGGTCCAAAATAGTGTTATCCAATAGGTCGTCCATTACTACGTCAGCTATAGTGGGTGAAAGAGGGTTACCCATTGGCATCCCAAAGGTTTGAGCGTAGAAACCTCCATTGCAGGTGAAGTAGTTGTTATCCTTCAAACAGAAATTCATGATATTTTGAAATTTATTTTTGGGTATTTTTGTGTAATGTTGAATTTTATCCCACTTGTTCATGATAATTTTCATAGCTAGATGTGTCGGTATGTTGGTGAATAAGGAGATCACATCGAATGACACCAACAAATCTTCTTCTTGTATTTGGATGTTTTCTAGCCTTTCTTTTAATTGAAACGCATTTTTTATGTTGTATTCCTCTGAGGTAAACTTTCTAAGAATTTTGCCTACATGCTTAGATAAACCATAGCACGGGACATTGACAGATGAGGAGATTGGCCGTAAAGGCAAGCCCGGTTTGTGAATCTTTGGCAACCCATAGAGTCTAGGTGCAGTTGCTGCTGTGCATGTGAGCTGTTGTTTTTCGCTTCTGTCAATAATTTTGTTTTTGTACAAGTCATCTATTATGGTATTGTTTTTTCTTTGTAGTGTAGTTGTCGGGTCATTTCTTATTGTTTTGTAAGTGTTTTTGTCTTCCAGTAGTTTTCTCATTTTTTCCGTGTAGTCCGCTTTATATAATACCACAGTTTTGTTTCCTTTATCCGCATCAGTAACAATAATTTCATCTTTGTGTTGTTTTAAAAAAATTTTGGTTCTATTAAAAGTCTCTAATATGAACTTCTCCGCTGAGTTGTGTTTAATGTTCCTTTTAAATTGAATTATTCGGTTACTCAATTTGCATCTCGCTGTTTCCTTGGTTCTGTTGTCTTCTATGTGCTGTATTAACTGTTCCATTTCTGCTATGATTTGGACCGGTTTGAGACTAGTCTGCGTTATGGGTAATGCAAATTTTTTGCCCAGGGAAAGCAACCATTTACTTTCATCGGGGAATTCTATATTCGTTTTGTTGACGAACCAATCGTTGTTTAGGTGGATTCCCAATTTTCGTAGTTGCTGTTGTTTTAGCTTTTTTAGTTTGGAGTTGTGTATTGATTCGCGTTCTTCTGTTATTTTCTGGCTGATGCAGTTCTGTTTGCAGATAAAGGATTTTAGTTCTGATTCACTTATGCTATGCTTCAGTTGCTGGTGTGCGTGAAAAATGTAATCTTTGGTTGTTTTTATGTTCATATTTGTTTGTGTTATTTCCAAATTTAAGATTTTCTTTAAAAACAGTAGTTTTGTTTTTTCTGTTTGTGTTTTTACTTTGTGGGACGTTGTGTTTATATTTATGTGTTTTACTGCATTCGAAAGGTAACAGGGTATCAGATCGAAACGTCTACATTCTAATAGAAAGTCTAGTTGCGTTGTTTGTTTTGCTAGTTTTGCCTTTAATTTACTGAAGTGTTTAAGGGTTGTGCATGTATGTTCCCCGTGTTTGTATTTCATATGCTTGTAGAAATTCTTCATGTTTCGTGTGTTGTTGATATAAATAAAAGAGAGAATCTCGGCAGGCCTTCCGATTTTTATATTATCTTTGTAAGCTTTTGATCGAGTTTTTGTTATATGTTGGTATTGTTGTAGGCTGGTCGATCTACTTCTCCATGTGCAAGAAAAATACTTTTTTCTCCACTTCTTTGCCCAACGTTTCGCTAACTACCTTAGCATCATCAGGGGCGATTCTTTATTATAAATATCAACAAAAAACAGAGGAAAACAAACTTTTATTTGTACAAAAAACTCATAATTTCTATTTAAATAATCTTGTTTTCCTCTGTTTTTTGTTGATATTTATAATAAAGAATCGCCCCTGATGATGCTAAGGTAGTTAGCGAAACGTTGGGCAAAGAAGTGGAGAAAAAAGTATTTTTCTTGCACATGGAGAAGTAGATCGATCAGCCTACAACAATACCAACATATAACAAAAACTCGATCAAAAGCTTACAAAGATAATATTCATTGTTTTGTTTACATGTTTGAACGTAAATTTTTCCAGTTTGTGAAAATTTTAATATTTATGGAAAAACGAAATGTAAAAAATAATGGAGGAAAGCTTAATAGAAGAAGTGAAAAAGTAAAATGCAAATTTTGCAAAGAGTATCAACGAGTTAATGATTTTTCGGGCGCAATGTCAAACGAATTTTGTGTAACTTGACGCATAACCATCGTTGACGGTGATGGTGACGGTGGCGGTGGCGCTGTTGCAATGGGTGGTATGTACTTTCACTTTCATTGCGTTCAACCAGAAATCAAACCAGAATTTCCGCAATACTTATTGAAAACTGCCAGGATTCAATAATATTCTCGAATCACCTGTGTACGCTCGTTTTTGGCAGTGTGGTCGAATTGTGGTAACCTCCCAGACAAAAAAAAAAAAGATTTTTTTTCAAACCAAATTTTGCCGCCCTAGGCACCTGCCTATGTTGCCTTTACGGCAAATCCCCACTTGATGAGTGTTTTTTAATTATTTTCTACTTTGTTTTCGTTCATACAGCTGACTTCGAAAAACAACAACAAGGGTTGCAGCTTGTCGATTTTTTGTTTTTCGTAGCGGAGCTACGAATTCCGATTTACGAAAATTCGGGGTCTAGTGTGTCCAGGAGGAGACCTAAAGATTCCTCGCTCGTCGTAGTCCATGAGTCCCCTTGACCCTTGAGGTAGTCGAGGTTGCATGGTGACTTTGCGAGAATTCTTCTTAATCTGGCCGCTTTCGTGGTTTCCTCAATTCCCTTGCAGTAACTTTGCCAGGATTTACGTTTCGCAGTTCTAACGGCTTTTTTGTATATTTTCAGATCAGCTTTATAGGCTTTCCAGTCGTCTGTTGCTCTCATGGCTTTGGCCTTGTTGAACATTGTCCTATTGGATTCACGTAACGGGGATAATTGTTTCGACCACCAAGGTAGTTTGGTTTTTCCCCTGTATCGAACAACCGGACATCCGGCTAAAAAAGAACTATTCAGGGGTTTAGTAACCTGATTAACCAATGCGTCCAGCTCCACCTTTGTCTTCTCTTTTCTTTGGCAGTAAAGTGCTTAATTTATTGTTGTAAACCCCCCAGTCGGTATTTCTAACATTTCTGAACTCCCTTACTTGGGGGTCTTAATATCTATTTCGAGTTCAATATATCGATTGTCAGAATAAGATTTTTCATTCTGTACTCTCCATCTCTTGATTTTATGGGAACACATGTCTGAAGTCATGGTTATATCCAAAACTCTCTCTACTCTTTTTTATAAAGGTCGGCTCTGAGCCTAAATTCAAGACACTAAGTTTGTTTCCTAGAATGAAGGCTAGTAACGACTCGCCTCTAGCATTCGTGTCCGTACTCCCCCACATCAAGTTGTGGGCATTTGCGTCGCAGGAGCTTAAAGCCCTTCATCCCAAGCCCGCAGATTTTATTGCCTTGTATCCACGGTTCCTGGATGAGTCCACCGGCAGCCAGGCGGATTTCAAGGTTCGCAGACACGTTTTTAGAGTGGTGGAGGTTGATCTGGATCAGCTTCATCAGAATCTGTCCGCTTTACCTCCAGCATCGTGACATCCACGTCCGCCTCTTCGATCTCCTCACCCTCGGTGTCATCGTCGAGGAGGTCTCCTTCATAAAATAATGTCCCCAAACCGGATAGCCTCTCCGAGTCGGGTGAGCATTGGGGGCAACCCTTCTTCACCACCGCTGCGCAGGCCGGACTTGTCGCTCTCCTCACTCAGATCGAAGCTCGGCTCGTCGCCGCGGTAGATTCGAATGGTTGCGTCAGCAAACCCGAATCTCACCCCCCAATCTTTTTGCACCAGTGGGGCTAGCGATTCGGCATTGAGGATCAGCAACACCTGCCTTCTATTCTCTACCGACTCCTCAATCTTCCCTACCCTCCAATTGTGAGTTGGCACAACCCTCATGGCCGACTTTTTGTCGTAATATGCCTGCTTCGAGGGGCGGGCATGTTTAGCCGACCCCCCAAGGCCGGTGTTTGCAGCTTTCCTTGAGCTGCTTGGAATGTCAGCAGCATACTGCCGGGTTATTCTTGAAGCAGGTGCCGCACCCCGCCCTTGGGTTAAGGTGTGTGTGCTTTGGGGCCTGACTTCCCTAGGCGGAGCTGACGCTGCAGCTCCAGCCGTGAATCGATTGGAGACCGGTTTGCCCAAGCCTCCTCTCCCCCCTCTGCCTCCTATGGTACTCGTACCAGGACCAGCCCTACCGCTTAAGCCCCCTCTAACTCCTGTAACTGGCGGTCTGACCAATGCCCTGCTCGAGGCTGTAGCATTAACCGGAGCCACCCCTGTCGGTTTTTTGGAGGGCCGTCCTCCTTGGTAGATTTTATGTTGAAATTTGAACTCATAATTTTCGTCCCACGAGTGTCGGACAATGGAGGTCCGGGTGCGCAGGTAAGGCTTGATAGAACCGGAGATCGCCAGGTATCCGGGGCACTCCGTTCGAGACTGGGCTATTTTGTCAATCTGGGTCCCCAGCCAGGCTGACCATCAGCACGGGTCGTCTAACACCTTGTTCCAACCCAGAGCTTTTTTAAAGAGGTTTGATCCTCCCTTACCTCCCTAGGCCACGATCAAAAACCATTTCCATATAACTAAGCTATTGAAGAGCTTAAGCTTGTTCCAACCCAGAGCTTTTTTAAAGAGGTTTGATCCTCCCTTACCTCCCTAGGCCACGATCAAAAACCATTTCCATATAACTAAGCTATTGAAGAGCTTAAGCACATAGCACTGATTTCTGTCTTAGCTAGACACCATTCTGACATCGTCCAGAACCTAAATTGTAGTGCCCATTACCAGTCGGTACCCTCGTGGAGGGTTCAGCCGGAGGATTTTCGCCGACCATGCAAACCTGCCTTTCGAGCTTGTGTTTTGTATTCCCGACGTTAAAACTGCATGAAATTAATAAAAAATTGTTTAAAATTAGTGTCTAGCCGCCAAAATGTAAGGAAACAAATACAATTTTGTGGTTGCTGGGAAGGTATTTGGAGCGTATTTAGGAGCGAAAATTTAAAAGTATGTCATATATTTTACTTTTTAATAATTTGAACGATATTAACATTTTGCAATGCAGTTTGCTTTTACAGAATATAGTGAAAATAACAAAACAATAACTTGAAATTTTAGTTCCTGTGGAGTACGCCCTTTTGGCGAAACAAAAGCGAACACTGATTGCAAATTTTTTCCTTTATCAACTGAAGCACCTCTTTTAAAACTACCGACACACCAAGTTTTCCAAATTGAGGTCATTGCTGTGGCATTTCCTTCTGAGAAAAATCGAAGAGGTGCGCAAGCTTTTAGGAGTATTGAAGTTGAACGAGGTGGTTCTTCTGTTTATTAACCAATTATACTACAGCTTCTTTTGGAAGTCCTGAATATGCTTTGAAAGTTAACCCAAAACGATAATGAAAGAAAAACCTTGAAAGCATTAACTTTTGATTGAGGGCGCGTTCGTGCACTTATCTTCCTCTTACACAAATAATTGTGCTGAACTAAGCTTTACTGCTGCCTTTTCTTTAAACTTTTAGAACAAGTGCAGAATACGTACATTTCGAAGAAAAAAAATAGTGGGCTCTATAGAGGAATTTAAAGAGATTACAACAACAAAATTTTTTTTGGTGGAAACCAAAAATGTAAGTTTTATTTAAGGTCAAAAAGTCAAAAAATTTACTTTTTAAACTTAAATATCTCGTAAACCATTGATGGTATTTCAAAGATTTTTATGTCGTTAGAAAGGTAATAAAAGATATTCATTATTGAAAAAATTTATGAAAAAAAAGTTTTTATAAACAAATTTTTTTCTTTATAACAAATGTATTTTTTTCTTTAAAAATTACTTCCTTAACATTTTTTTCTTTATAACAAATGTATTTTAAGTTTTCCAAATTGAAGTCATTGCTGGGGCATTTCCTTCTGAGAAAAATCGAAGAGGTGCGCAAGCTTTTAGTAGTATTGAAGTAGAACGAGGTGGTTCATCTGTTTATTAACCAATTATACTACAACTTCTTTTGGAAGTCCTGAATATGCTTTGAAAGTTAACCCAAAACGATAATGAAAGAAAAACCTTGAAAACCTTTATAACAAATGTATTTTTTTCTTTAAAAATTACTTCATTAAAATTTTTTTCTTTATAACAAATGTATTTTTTTCTTTAAAAATCACTTCATTAACATTGTATATAAATACAACCATAAAAAAGGAGGAACAAGTGCAGTATACGTACATTTCTAAAAAAAAAACTACTGGGCTCTATAGAGGAATTTATAGAGATTACAACAACAAATTTTTTGTTAGAGCAGCCAAGCAGTTCGACAACATTTCTATTTATTAAACACGCTGTATATTGCTATATAATGTAACGGAATATTTCCATTGTACATATACTATACATATATTCGTTTGGTAACTGAAAGACAAACACAGAAGTTAAAATACAATTCTTTGTAAACCGCGTAGGCGAACGCATGAATTTTTCTGTACAATAAACGCGAAATACTACAGTGGCGTAGCACTGGGAAAACCTCTGCTTTATTTTCTTATAGGTTATGGGCCCAGTCCATAACCTCGCGGAAGTGTGATTTAAGAGCGAAAAACTCTAATAAATCGGAAAGTTGTACTCAACTCGCGTTCGGTAAAGACAAATAGCAAAATTTGCAAAATGACTAGTGTCGTACGAATCGAGCCG